TGTCTTTTACAAACAACATAAATGCAGCCACCACCTTATTAAAAGATACACTCTCTGTAGTTAATAAGGAGAATGATGTAAGTAGGCAGGTGAATAAGCCTATTTATGTGGAAATCCAAAATAATATTGGTCAGACCCAATGCACAGGGCAGACTTTGGATACCTACACAGCTGTAAGAGCCGAGCCTAAAACAGTGAGCAATCTTGTAAAAGACAAAAACCCCTCCTCAAACAACATTATATTACATCCTTCTGAGGAAACTTGCTATAACAAATTTCTTAAAAAACATAATCTTCCATTACTTAACTTTAATCAAACTCTTAAATCCTTTTTACATCATCTTCTAAAACAATCCTTCTACAAACCCTATAAAATATCTCTCAATATATATACACATGAAACACATATTTACCTTGATATTAATGATCAACTCTTAATTAATTATAGAATTATACTGCCATATCAATTTTCAGCATACTATAATTCTTTTATTAAGTTAATAACCCCTTCCAATTCTACCTCTACCTCATCTTTCTTTAATACTTCTTATAATAACTCTCAAACACAACTAAATAATTCTTCTTTTAACAACAATGCTATATCAACTTCTCAAACTATCAAAATTTGTACACTCAATACTAATAGCCTCTCAACTAACTCTAAACAATTAATTATATATAACTATATTATAGAAAATAACATTGATATTTTTGGTCTATCAGAAACATATCTAACTGAAAAAGAAAGTAATCTCATACCTCTTACACAAAGCCTTACTAATTTTTCAAACTTTTGGAGCCCACCCATTATATTAAGAAAAGAAGGTGTTGGAATTTATATTCACACTAACTTGTCTAAATATATTGGATGTATACAAGAATATCAAGGACATATTATCTGTCTAGATCTCTTTCTTCCAAACAATTCACTTCATATTATCCAAGTCTATTTTTCAACACAAGAAAAAAAGCAACTAAAAACTGAAATAATTAAACTTATACAAAAAACTACTCATAAAATAATTTTAATGGCTAATTTTAATGCAACACCCAATCCCAAACTAGATCATTCCCCAGCAAAAAGAACACAAACACCAGAATCACAACTTATTAAATTTTTTACTCTCTACATGCATGATACCTTTTGTTTCTTTCATCCCAATTCTATAAAATTTATCTTCAGTCACAATAATAGTCATAGTAGAATTGACCAAATATGCATATAGCTTTTCTGGACTATACAGATATTATTGAAGATGCTACAATAGAATCAGATCACAATATTATTCTACCTGAATTTTCTATTTTATTAACAATCTCTTCTTCATACAAACAACCTCTTAGGAAAGTCCCTCTTTGGAAACAAGTATCATCTGAACAAATCCAAAAATACCAAACACATATAGATCAAAACTTAACTAAAATTTACTTACATATTCCACAAATTCAAAACCAAGTAGAACTAGATAAAACTTGGAAAATTAATAACAAAAGCTTCCATTAAACATATTCCTTATAAAAAAATTAAAATCAAAAACAATCTTAATCTTTTTTACACCAAACCCACACTTATTCAACTTCAATACAAACACATATCAACAATTAAAAAACTAATCAAATCTTCTAAACTCTCTCAACTAATTACAAACTATTATAACAAATACACAAACAATACTCTCTTTAATCTTACTAATATATAAACTTCTATTCATATCCCAACTATAAAAAATATTCTTAAATTGGAAATTAAACAAATTAAAATACTTCTAAAACAAAAAAAACAACAATATACTGCCTCTGAAATTAAATACAAATTACAGGAACGTAATACTAATTTCACTCAAAAAAGTCTTGGAAAGATTTACCAGCAATGTGTCACTGGACAGATTTCTACTTACAATTCCTTACTTACTAACCCAGAAGAAATCAAATCTGCTACTCAACAACATTTCCAAAACTATTTTTAAGATCAACCACTTTCAGATATAACTCCTGACTCAGAATTTTATACCTTATACCAGCCACACCCTGAGCTTAAATATTTTTATAATAACATTCTCACAGAAATCACACAAAATGAATGGCAAACAACAATTAATCAATTACCTAATCAAAAAGTTTCAGAACCCTCTGGTACTAGCTATGAACATATTAAACACACCTCACTACTTAGTTAAGACATTCTCACTTTTTTCTCTCCAAATATCTATATCTTCAAACAGTCCCAACTGACTGGAAAACCTCTAATATTTTTCTAATACCAAAAAAAAACAAATGGGACTTTATACTAGAGCAAGTCTGACCAATTTCACTTATCAAACCTCTTAAAAAATATCTTACCAAAATCTTTACAAAAAGACTTGACAACACTATTAATACAAACAATCTTACCAGCAAT